CTGCTGAAAGAAGAATAATGTATGTGGCTCAGGAGTTGACTGAACATATCACTGTTTTTCAAAGCAGGGTATAAGTAGCCAGAGGGACTTGTGGTAAGAACAGCAGGAGTGTTAGGCTTAGTCCCAAAACTCCTCCTCAGAAAGCTTTTCTCAGCTCATTGTATGTGAGGAGTGTTACAGACAGGATATGAGAATTTAGTCTTCACAGTAGATAAGGAGCACAATTAGACACTTCTGAAGTACTGCTGATACTTCATTTCACCAGTGATGTCTGTGTTTACTCTGGATTTGTTAGAGAAAGGTGAATCCTACAGGATGGCAGAGGTGGGAAGTGTCATTCATATGGATTAACTTTTCACAGAAGGAAGAATAAAGTTTTATGTTTATGTAAACTTTGCTTTAATCACAGAATCCCTGACTGGTTTGGGTTGGAAGGACCTTAAAGCTCATCCAGTCCCACCCCCTGTCATGGGCTGGGACACCTTCCACTAAATCAAGTAGCTCCAACCTGGCCTGGAACACTCCCAGGGTTGGAGCAGCCACAGCTTCTCTAGGCAACCTGTACCAGTGCCTCAGCACCCTCACAGGGAAGAATTTCTTCCTAATATCCAATCTAAACCTACTTGCTTTCAGTTTAAAGCCTTTCCCCCTTGCTTTATCACTACATGCCCTTGTAAAAAGTTCCTCTTTAAATCTCATCTATTTCCTTTATCTGCACTGCATAAGTGGAAGAGAATGTTTGCAAGGAGAAGAGGATGTTGGGAAAGAAGATTTCCTCCAAAACAAGACAAGGAATCTTGCATATAAGTTTGCATATGAGCTAATTATGTTGGACTTGTTCGTTTTGGGGGGTTTAATGCAGACAGTGACAGTGTGCCTCTTGGAGGCATTTCTGTGTGTCAGAGCAGAGGCCTCTCCCCAAGGTCTGCGTCACTGCTCTTTCCTTTCCTCCCTGTGAGTGGAGAACTGGTGTCTTTGGGAACACAATGGCATTCGCAGTGGAATTAATCAACAGGATTTTTTCCACATGAAAGTGCTTGGAAACAAGGGAAAATGGAATTAAGTACTGTGAAGCAGTGTTTCACAATGAGAGAGGTCAGTTGGAAAAGATTGCTCAAAGTCTTTGAATCTCCATCTTTGCATGAAGGTACCAAAAACTTGCTTGGGTAACCCCTCAGGCAGCCTGATGTGGCTGAGTCTGCCTCGGAGCAGAGGGCTGAAGACCTCCACCCTGCTTTTCTGTGGTTTCAGTCACTGTACCTCCAAGGACTTCTGAAGTAAGGTCTGGTTATTGCCTAGAAACAGTTGGGGATATGTTTTCTTTAGTAGTTAAATCAGTGTTGCTGTATGGTAGTGATAACCAAGTAATGTCCAGTTGATGGTGACTTTGAGGGATTTTTCGTCAGTTTTCACATTTAGTTAAATATTATTCTTTCGACTGAAATTATGTTGGATTGTGCTGAACATCAGCTGTGATTAAATATGCTCTGCCTGTGTGTATGTGAGCCAGCTGGGCATGATTCTAATTCACAGGCTGTTGGAAGACTATATGAGAGCTATAGAAGGAGTGAAAAAGCATCTTCTTCAGAGATCGGAGCCCAGGAAACTCACTTTTGTGGGAGAGCTTGCTCATGGCCATTTCAGTGCCAAGATGGTAAGAAACACCAACTGCATTAAAGAAAAAAACAGCAAAAGAAAACAGAAAAACCATCACAGCATTTAAATAAAACCCAACACATGGACAGGCAAATGCAAAGCTTTTTCTTCTCAAAAGGAAAAAAATCGACTAAACCCAGACTGTATATACCTACACATCTACTGTCCAGTGTGATGGCAGGGCTGAGTGAGTACTGTGTAGATACTAACCACCTGTGCAAGCCAGGGGCCTTCCTGTGAGTTACTCTAGTAAACCTATTGATGTTCCTGTGAGACTGAACATTTTGGTGCTGGAGTCAATTTTTCTCTCTCCTTTTGACTTGACGTTCCAGTGTCTGAGACTGTTGAGGCAATGCCTGTTCCGTGTATATTTGTTTTCCATAATTCAGACATACATGTAGACACTTGCACATATGGCTTTTCAGCTTTGCCTTCAGGAGCCCCAGGTGATTAACATTGTGTAATGGGGTTAAAAAAATTGAATAGTTTTGGAGGCTTCTGTCCATTCATGGTGTTTGTTTCTTTTCCTGCCTGTAGGGTTATTGAGTAAAATGCTGTGCTGTTAGATGTGGGGAAAATTGTTTAATCTTAACTCCCTGCTCATAACTTGTACATCTAGACTCTTTAAAATGCATTTTACAATCTTTCAGTTAAAGGTGTCATGCAAGTGCAGGTATTGTGTGTGTGAGACTTGTCTTTAAGGCAAGGGATGTTACTGGTAATGTGTGCATAGCTTTTTCAAACCTGAAGTGAATTTTAGTGAATTCTATGACTGTTGTCTGATGATGTATTTTTGAGACACTCAGTTCTGGTTTTCAGCTGATTTTCTGGTTTCTTGGATTTGAATTTCCCAAAAGAGCAAGAGCAGAGTTGGGGGTTTGGGTAGAGGGGGCTGCCTCATCCCATGGTGGCAGAGGAGAGAGCTGAATGCAGACAGATTTGGCTTGGCTGTCTGCATGTGTCAGTGCACTGTCTGCTGTGCCAGGGAGTCAGAATTTTGGCATTTAATCCATTGCTATTGGGTGAAAGGCTGGACAGGTCTCTTACCCTGGCCAGCTGGGAAAGTGGAAGATGTTTGACTCCTATGTCTGTGTTGACCTTTACAACCCTCAACTTCCTTGTAGAATGGGACACACCTTTTAAAGGCCCATGCAGAGGCCTCAGAGTGGTTTTACTATGTTTTTGGGCAATGACACCTGAACTTTCATTCTGAAGGTCAAGAATCATTTGAAATCCCATATATGACATTAATCTGCAGTCTTGCATTCTTACATCAGTGGTGGATTAGCCCCAGGACAACCAAAGGCCAACAAGGACAACCAAACCTTTAGGTGGTTCTGCCCTCCCCCAGCATGAGCTGGTATGAAGTGTGTGGTAGTGCTTCTGGTAAACCAAAACACACTCTCCTCTCCCTGTCCTGAGACCATTATTTCAGAAACTTGTCATAAAAACACATTCTAGTGTGTTTCCCAAATGAATGATTTCTCTTACAATGCTGACTGCCTCATGCCACACTACATCAGATTGTTAAAAAGTTAAACTCAAGTTGTTGGTACCACAAATGTGTTTTGAAGAAGAGAAAGAACTAAAACACCCAGAAAGATAGAGGTGCACAACCCCCCCCCCCCAGTCCCTGTTTGATGTGTAACTTCTCCGCAGTAAGAGGTGTCTTGTCCTGCAGGATCACTTGGTTTGCTTCCTGCCAGGCACTTTGGCACTGGGAGCTCACCATGGACTGGCTGCTGATCACATGAAATTGGCTGAAGCCCTCATAGAAACCTGCTACCAGATGTATGCTCAGGTGGAGACAGGTCTGAGCCCAGAGATTGTTCACTTCAACCTCCATGCACAGAAGGGCCACAAAGATGTGGAAATCAAGGTGAGCAGACAGCTGGCCTGAGCTGCAGTTCATGATTCCTCTCTAGCTCTTTTGTGCTGTTGAGCTCCCAGGCAGCTGGTCGTGATGGGTTCTGTTGTGGAGCAGTTCATTCTTTTGCTGCCTCACCTTCTGGCTGTTACCTGGGTCTGGGATTTACTTATCCCAGTGGTGATTTAAAAGCTGAGTTACACACAACAAACTCTTAGGAGTACATGGAGATGAGAATCTTTATTTTTCTCCCTGCACGTGTCCTGAAAGAAATTCCCTGTCTAAAGTACTCTTGTCTTTTTTTCCCTCTTCCAGCCTGCAGACAGGCACAACTTACTGCGACCAGAAACTGTGGAAAGCCTTTTTTATATGTACAGATTCACTGGTGATAAGAAATACCAAGACTGGGGCTGGGAAATCTTGCAGAACTTCAATAAATACACACGGGTAAGAGCAGATTATAGTGACCTTGTTCTGTCAGGACTGTGTTTGCTCACTTGCTCTCCAGTGCTTTGGAACTTTGGAGACCTACTGTCTTTCAAGGTTTCTGCAGGGAAATTTGTAAGAAGATACAGAAAAATTTCTTGCAGTTTGAGATACTCTACTTAGTCTATATAAGGAATGAGCTTGTGTTACATTGATTGAAGAGTGAAATGCAGAAGCTGTAGGCAAGGCAACTCAGAGTCTCTACACCTTGGAAGCTGTTAGAATCTCTGGGAATTCAGAAGCTGAGAAGGACCAGGCTGGATTGATAGAATCCATTGATTGAAGTTGCCAAAGAAAAAAATTGGCACAAAATGGCATTAATGGTTTAAAAGAGGGAGTTGGTATTCATTCTGACTGCAGTGCTCATGGGGAGATCACTGATGTGCCATGAAAGTGTGGCCTAGATGCCACTGGTCATCAAGTATCCATGGTCTGTTCTTCAGAGAAATGGAGATGGGGCTTGGGCCAGGTCTGATGGAGAAATCACTAGTTCCTTTCTGTACATTTGTCCAGAAGCTTCAAGCTTGTGATAGCTCTTCCACTTGAGCATAAATGGACATTTTGCTTCATTTTATCCTTGTGGTTTCTTTTAAACTGCGATGAGGTTTTTGTAATAACTGAAGCTTTCTATGTAAATGAAAACTAAGTATGAAATGAAAAACATACTGATCTGTTTCTTAGCACTTGCCTTCTCCAAGGGCATCTGGATGTAAGGAAACATAAATATATTTTATTATAGACTATGTAAATATACAGTTTTTCTGGTTTGTTTGTTTTTGGTTTTTTGGTACAGGTTTCTACAGGTGGTTATACTTCCATCAACAATGTCCAGAATCCCAGTAACCCAGAGCCACGGGATAAGATGGAGAGCTTCTTCCTTGGGGAGACACTCAAGTACATGTTTCTGCTGTTTTCAGATGACATAGACTTGATCAACCTGGACAAATATGTCTTTAACACAGAGGCTCATCCCCTCCCTATCTGGGTGCCAGCATAGACTCTGCACCAGTGACCTTCCAAACGGTGGCATTTTGTCTCCAAGTCACTTTTACTTTTCAGGGTTTGAGGAGATGCTATATTGCACCTTTTGCAGCTTCAAACAAACCAAACCTTGTGGAAAGCATCTCTGGTTTGAAGAAATCGTGTCAGTCTTAAATATGATCCCTGGTTCTGGGATGGACAAGCTGTGCCATATGGAGCTGATGTCTCTGGCATCGGTGACGAGGTTCAGAGAGGAGTTGTAGTGTGGACCATGACATTTAAAGGGCTCTGGTGACCCAGAACTCACTTATGTCAGTCTTACTAAATGCTAATTAAATACTGGGAATGCAGTGAGTTGGCTTAGGGCACAGAGTTGTTCTGGAGAGTAGGAATAAGCCTACGGCCTTCTGGTTTATTCTGGATTCACTGAAACACTGGATTACAGAGCCATTCTCTCCTCAGACCCTGACAGTGGTTCAGGTGGGAAGTAGAATAAACAAAGAGCTGTAGTGCTGTCCCAGTTAAAGGCAAAGCTCAGTATTGCTGCTGATACTCTGAACTCATTCCAAACTCCCAAGCTGTGCTGCATCACCTTAGGAGAGGGAAGAGGCAGCAGAGCATCCCTTGTACAGTGTCTTAGTTTTGTAGAGCACTTTGAACAGTCTGTTCAAGCTGGGCCTGAGATGAAAGAGAGTTTGCTGCTGGTTTGGCTCAAAGTGGTATATAATTTTGTAGAGGTATTGCTGCTGATACTCTGAACTCATTCCAAACTCCCAAGCTGTGCTGCATCACCTTAGGAGAGGGAAGAGGCAGCAGAGCATCCCTTGTACAGTGTCTTAGTTTTGTAGAGCACTTTGAACAGTCTGTTCAAGCTGGGCCTGAGATGAAAGAGAGTTTGCTGCTGGTTTGGCTCAAAGTGGTATATAATTTTGTAGAGGTATTTCAGTTTCTTATCTGCATTAGGAGATAATGTGAAACTCCAGTGAAACTACATGTGCATTTTATATATTATTGCATCAGTTAGACTCAGGTATTCTGACTGAAAGCTGCTTCCAAGGTTGGGCACTGGGAAAGCTTATGAGCACATCAAGCATCAGCCTCCTTCCATCCCTTCCTGTCAGATGTTACATCATAAGGTGTTCGGTGACTCAAAACAAAATTACAACTGTACAGCACAGTATCAGTTCCTGGACTGTGGAGACATTTTCAGTTTTTTCCTTAGGAGTACATTGGGTAGAAGTGTTTTCAGTAGTAGTGTTAAAAGCTGAGAGTCTAAAGGTGTTACAGCAGCTCCAGGTCCCAGTAGAATTAGAGAAATCCATTTCAGTTGCTTGAAGACAAAGCAGAACAGGTTTTTTTAAGAGTCCCAGGATTCTTATGGGAATCTATGAGAACCCTGGGATCTTTCATTTTAATATGTGCAATTAGATTTTAAACCAGGAATTTGGAAATGAGCTTTCTGTAATGCTTCTCCTTTTGGATTTGTAGCTACTTGAACAGTCTCATGTTCACAGGTAAGATCTCAGAAATGTGCTTGTTCCTATTTCTTGAGGTTCTCACTGGAATGCCCTTTCCCCTGGTACTGGTGTGACAGGAGTGGTGTGTGGTGGCATCAGGGAGATGGAGTCCCCACGGGTCCAGGGCTGCTAAGGGAACTGGTGGAATCTGACTGTAACGGTTCATTTCCAGTGGCTGAGGGAGGTATATGTATCTTACAGCATTTGTAACCTTTGATTTGTGCATATGCATCTTCACTTGTTTTATGCCGATTCATTTTGTTTACTGGAGTCATAGCTTACCCTTTGGACCACTATTCAAGTCTTTTAAAGAATATTTATCATTCCATGTACCAGTGATGCTTATGGGAATGGAGAAATTTTCAGGTCATTTAAATGCCCCTTTTTCTGTCATCAGAGGGGCCCCGGGACTGGCAGGGCATGACCAGGCAATGCAAAATGTTAATGTTCCTCCTGTTCACATGGCCCCAGTAGCTCTGGCAACAAGCCGCTCACTGACACGTGCAGTGGAATTCAGTCCCTGTGGCCTTTGGCTGCACAACTGATTTGCTGCTAAGGCTTTTGTTTTCTTTGACACAATGGGAGGAAAATGGGGGAAGAAAATGCTGTTGAAATGTGGGAGGAAATGCCTTCAGTGTTTTTGTTTGTGGAGTAGGTTTGTGCTGCTGATGAGCTGAGCTTTGGCTAAAAGCTAAAGGTTTAAAACTGAAGATTACAGAAAAAAGATAATTTGGTGGCACTACGTGGGCCCTGCTGAGCTGTGTGGCTTTGGCCTCGAATCTTCAGCTGAAGCTTAATTCTGACTCTGCTGTGGGCTGTAAAACTTGCAGGGTTTGGCGTTTCACCCAGACAGTTGCCCAACTGAGGCAACAGAAAGCTCACCAAAAATCTTCTGTTGTTGAGGTCTTACATTAGTCTTAATGGAATCGACTCTACACATGGGGCTGTGGGAATCTGTATTGTAATTTTTTTGCCTTATGATTGGCTTTAGAATAATAATTCGTTTCCTAATGAGTTGAAGGAGAGAATAAACCACCACTTTCCCAAACATGTCTTGTCTTTTAGCTGAGCCTGATGGTGCAACTGATTTCTGCATAATTCTTGCTGGGACACGGAATCTGCAAAGTGTTGCTTTATTGTCCTCAGACTTTAAACCTGAACTTCAGATTGTTCAGCTCTCACTCCCTTTGAGAACAAATGCTTGTTTTGGACCCCTGAAACCATGTGTGAAATGACACAAACACAATCTGACCAAAGCTTATCTGTTCTTCCTGTTCTTTTGCAACGGTCACTTTAATTGCTTATTTATTTTTTTGCTTCCTTAACAATCTGTTGTGTCCGATCAGTCTCTGAGCTCCACAGCCCCACAATGTGCTCCCCCAGCACAACAAGCTTTGTGCATCTTTGAGAAGTCTCTTTTTCAGCACTCTGTGGTTTGTTGTTCCAAGGCCTGAACTGTCCAGTCCATAACCCACCTTGGTGATTCAGTGTACTGGGATGCTCCTTGCTGGAGTGTCATGGGCAGGCTGCCACCTACCCAGGGATTCTGTCCTCCTGCACCCAGAGCTGCTGTGCTTTCTCCCCAGGAGTGTCAGTGCCTGATTAATTAAAGCAGAACACCCATCCCTGCCTCCCCTGGCACTGCTGTTCCTTAGCTTTCCCTGGGGACCAGGGCTGGGCACAGGCAGAGCTCTGGAGGGCTGTATGGCTGTGGGGCTTGGGAGTCTCCAGTGGGGACTTTGACCCACAGCTCTGGAAAAAGTACAGACCTGTTTGCTCAGAGAAAATTCAGGAGATGGATGGGCACAGTTAGCCTCTAATCCCTGAACTTTTGAGAACTGAGTTCCCAGTTCAGGTCTTGGAAACACGGTTTCGCGGGGTCCCTGCTGTTGCCAGATGGGCCCCTCTGTTTCCCAGGGCTTTCCAGTAACAGGATTTTCAGCATCCCATGCCAAACTCAGGTACAGCTGTATTTACTCCTCCAGATACTAGGCAAATAATACACCTTGTTTTGTGTTCCATACCAGTGTGGTGTTGCAGTGATGAGGGATGAAGACAGGAAAGGTTTTTGCAGTAACACATTTACAGCTTTGTGAATTTCTCCTGCACTTTAGGACTTTCCTTCAGCTGTGCACTTGGAAATAACCCTGCAGGGAACTCAGCTCCTAATTTCCAGTGCCACACTCAGCATATTTAACAAGTTCAGTAAAACTGGCATGACGGGAGCTCCATGGTGTTGCTTCAGCAGAAGGGTAAAGATTTTTCTGACTGGATTTGGGAAGAAAATTTTTCTCTGAAATATTGCTGGAGCTTCCTGTCTGAGTCTGGAGGCCTCAGCTTCCACTGAAACCCAAGCCCAAGTTCCTGTTCTGTGCAGTGTTCCCACCTTAGCCATACTCCTCACACCGGTACGTGGTAGTGGAACAAACACCTTTGTTCAGCCACCCCTCTGGTGCAGGCCTTAGGCCAGCGCTGGGGCTTGCACCGAAGGCCTGGCCCTGGGTCACTCGCTGCTGGCACTCCATTCTCCCTTTGTGGCCCTGAAGTTCAGCCAGGAGCAGTGTTCTTCTGCTGCTCAATAGCAGTGACTGCTGCTGTGGGGCTCTTCCCTTCAGCTCAGACAGCACCACACAACCAGGATGTTCTGCTTACATCCCATGCTTGCCTGCCCAAGGCTTCAAAACATAGGTGTCGGGGGCACTGCTTCAGACTGCTGCTCATCTGTCCTGGAGTCCATGTGTATTGTGTTTATCCCTTTGCTACAGTGTCTGGAAGCCTTTCGTTCATCCATCCTTATTCATCAAGCCACGGGTGTCCCTCACTGTGTGAATGCCTTTAGGTCCAGAACTGTTTGCAGGAGGAAAATGAACTCGGTGTAGTTCAGTACAAGAGGATTAAAGAACTCTTGTCGCTCTGGAAGGTCAGCAGACACCTGGGCCTCCTTTCCCTCCAAAGCACAAGCCCAGCCCTGGCCACAGGGTAACTTCCCACAAGCCTACAGGGCTGTGTGCAGGGAGCAGGGCTG